GGTTATTTTGAAACGATTCATCTTGGCTCTTGAGAGAAAGAAGCACTATTCATCATGATTGAAGATTCATTAATGCAATTATGTATCTTCTTCCAAGGGAATAAATCATAAGATCCAAGTTGGAACTGTACCATGGGTCATCCGTCTATATTTCCCACATTCTCTCAGACTTTAAGTCTGTTTCTCTTTTCCCCTTTCACGCACAATCACACAGAAATATGCAAAAACTCAAGAGTGTATGCACAAAGTCTCTCTTATTCTGAAAAATTGTTACAAACATTGCTGTTCAATCTGTACTGAGGATCTGTTTAATTTTACAAGCGCCATATTCTTCTCTAGTACTTTATAACTTGAAGTATTTTCCTGATATTAAAATAATATTAAAATACTATAAAATACTAAGATAATATTAAGAGCACAGAATGCTGAAAACAGTAATCCTTAAATTCTTTATTATTATCTTTCCTGTGAGCAAGTCTTCCTCATCCAACAGCCGTCCCTTGGAATAGTGTTTTAATTCAGACCTGTTTATATATCCCCCAGAGCCTCTAAATCATTCAGCATCTCTTTGTATTTCATTTCTAGACTCTGTTGTCCCATTGAATTATCCAGCTCCCCTTCTCGATTGTAAGGCATTAAGTCTGAGGTAGGGTAAGGACTTCTTCAACTGGGGTCTCCAAAACAGAGAGCTAGATCCAGGAGAAAGTTCAATGGCCCTAAAGAAGATCCGATTCCAAGTCAATAGGCTATTTAAGGAACAAAAATGCCAAACTGGGTTGTTGTAAGTTTTTTCGGGCTATATAGCCATGTTCTCCAGTGATTCCAGCCATGAAAATCTTCGACAATACAAGAATGCCAAAACTCGGTGTCAAAGATCTGAAAAGTGGGAAAGGAAGGAGTAGTCCAGCACAGCTATTTTGAAATGAGGCTGTTAGATTGTCACTGCTTCTCTCCCTTTGAGGTACTCGCTGTCCAACAAATAAGCACCTGTGTTGTCTTTCATAGTATTCAATATTCCATTCTCTTTGTCCAGTAGAATATCTTGATTCCCTTATGGTGTAGAACTCTGCTTAAGCAAGTTAGCTGGGACTGTCATTCCAGTGTCTGTTGATCTTGCCCCAGTCAGTTTAATATTAATGAAACATGCTTGAACAGTGAGGTACACAATGAAGAAAGTATTGAAAAGCTATGCTTCTGCAAGTTCAAAAGAGAATCGTTCTCTACATAACAACATGTTTCTCAAGGAGTCTTCTTCAAAGAATCTTCCCCCCAACCACCACATAGAAATTGAGCATTGCAGTCAAAGGCTGGGAAAATGAAAAGTTGTAGGTCTTAAAACTGCTAGTCTATATGTTATGCCAGGGCAGTGGATTTTTGTGGTGTTTTAGAGAAAGAGAGAGATAAAGAGGAGGACAGAAAAAGGGAGACCTTAAAACACATCAATCTAAATCCTGCAGGTGGACCTCCTATTCATGTGTCACTGGAAACTGACTCCAAAATGACAGGATCACTATGAGGTCACAATATTGTGCAAAGATCCATAGAACTAGACAGTGGATAATAATTGCCTTTTAAGGAATTGTGGAAAGAGAGTCTCTTTTCGTAGTGAATCAGACTCCTTTTACTCTTCAAAGAAATCATATATCTAGTGAGGGACATATGTTTCTGAGGGTTCATAGTTGAGTTGCAGAGCTACCGAGGAAGAATCACTGTCTCATTACCACAGACAAATAAAAGTAATGCCTTTCTCTGGATGTGTTCTGGCCAACGCAACTCTCGCGAGATGTCGGGTGCTTCCTCCTCAGCCTGAAGGATAACCTCTCGCCCAGCCTCCCTCCTTCCTCCCTCCCTCAGGGGCTCACTTGGCGGCGGCCATTGTCTGGAATATGCTTGGGATCCTTAATTTCAAAGGCAGGGTGGGCATCTGTTGGGAGTGCTTTGACTGTGTTTTTCCTGCATGGCAGAAGGGGGTTGGACTGGATGACCTCTGGGGTCTTCCAGTGAAATACTGTTAAGTTTATGGTGGTTAAAGTTGTTCTTTATTTTAAATATTTTATTGCTCTTTGTTTGCTTGTTTTTGTGCTACAAACAAGGTATGTGCAGCATGCATAGGAATTTGTTCATTTTTTCCCCAATTAGTTCACACAGACATTCTCCAACCATCTTCCACTGGCCCCGCCCATCTGTCAAATTTTAAAATGCAATATGACTCTGGTGTCCAAAAGTTTCTTGGTACTCCACGAGAAAGTTTTTGTTTAAAAATGGCCCCATAGCTTTAAAAGTTTGAGAACCTGTGCTATAGGAAGAATTAGGAAGAACTTCATTGACCTCACAAGTGTTGGAGCAGACATTCTGTACTCTTGTGACCAAAAAGAAAAAAAAAGCTTACCTTATTAATGCTCTTATGCTTGTTCCATCTATGAGGGTAACACTTGTACTTTTGTCAGGTAGGTGTCACCTTCAGAAATGTCGTGGATACAGTGCTGGCTGTTAACCAATCTCTGTTTGCATTATAATGTTTGGGAATGTTGTGATGCATGTGTTACTTTTTATACCACGGACAAAAAAAAAATTGGTTGCTTTGCTACCACACCTAGGTTAGTACCACATCTAGAACTAGATTCTAGGCCTTGGCATGAGCAGAACTTAGAAAATGACTTAGAATGTAATTAGTTGCAGTTCCAAATCCTCAAAACATAGTTGGTAAATGATGCAGTTACAGTTGTAAAAATAACATTTTATTTTTTAATTTCTTAAGGATGTCAAAATGGTAGAAATCAGTAGTCAACGGTACAAAATACACCTGAAGAAGCCACACCCCTCGTTACTTAACTGTAAACTAAAACATTTACAATTACATCATAAAAGTTGTGAACTTATCCTTCAAATGGACTTAGTTACTCTTGCAATATTGCAAAAAGGAGTAGGTTACATGTTAGTAATACTTTGTAACTAGTGAGTTAAAGTAGGAACTCCCCGTGGAAAGTCAGTTTATTGAGAACATCCCTCATTTTGAGCTGACTGGGTTGGAAATGTCCAACCCTGCACTTACCAGGTGGCCCTTGGCTCTGCATCTTCAGCAGCTGGCTCTGCAGGTCTTGATGGACTGCGTTTCCATCAGGTCTATGTAACAAAGCCAGCCAATAGTCATGGATGTTGGGAGCTGTTCCCAAAAACATCTGGAGTCATTTCACATACTTTTCCTCAGTAATGTGTAAAACTCTGTAAAGATGAATCAGTAATTTTGTTTCTTATGGACTTACAATCTGGAGGTTTAAAGCTGAGAAAATAGTGGGCTTCCTAAAGTGTCAGCTGAATCATTAGGTCTTGGTAGGTTTTTCACAGGGGTTTCCTAGTTCTGTTCAGTTAACCAGTCCCCGTCAACATGATGCCCTTTAGAACTGGAGTAGTCACATATAATGGGAGTTGTAGTCGTAAGCATCTGGAGGGGAGTACCACAAAATGGTGATCCATGGACTGGTGCTGGTTAATAAGTCATCAGATGCTGGTCCCTGTCAGGTTTCCAGGAAAGAAAGAGTTGTAGTTAATGAGTATAAATATGCAACTGGTCTCTGGCACATTGGAAAATAATAACTGCTGGTTTAATGTATTGTCGAAGGCTTTCATGGCTGTAATCACTGGGTTGTTGTAGGTTTTTCGGGCTATATGGTCATGTTCTAGAAGCATTCTCTCCTGACATTTCACCTGCATCTATGGCAAGCATCTTCAGAGGTTGTGACCTCACAACCTCTGAGGATGCTTGCCATAGATGCAGGTGAAACGTCAGGAGAGAATGCTTCTAGAGCATGGCCACATAGACCCAAAAACCTACAACCAACCAACTGCTGGTTTGTTTACAACATCAGTTGGCTTGGGAAGCACTTTACTACACCTTTCATGTTGCACTTGATTGGATTTATATAAGTCTAAATACATATCTTGTGTATTGTAGCCAGGTCATATTTCATGACTGTTGCTTTTTCAAGTTCTTTTAATCATCTTTATCTATTCATCTGTTATAATTATTGAAAAATAAAATACCTTATGAAATTGCATGCCACTAACATAAATAGTGGGGTATATTTCAAGTCTACACTAATTTTAAATAGCCTGCACTCATACTTTATTGATATGGTAGTAATGCAGAGTGAGGGTGGAAACCTTTGCTTCACTGTCTCACAGACAAAAGCTGTGTCTTTTATTATGCTGTTAGTGGCAAGGATAATGATCAAGTTTACAAATAATACCATCTTAATACTATTACCAAGATGCTGTTAGACCAATGTTATTTTAACAACTGATTTGATATTAAGTGCTCATGAAAAATTAATCCATTGGATTTGAGGAGCTTAATACAGTAATGAAATGTTCCAGTGACATGAGGACAGCCAGCTTCTTCTTGTGACAAAGGTGTTTTCACAAGCAAAAATCATTATAAAAATATAACAAAAGGAAACAATTCATCTACTTGAGATGTTTAATTATATATATTTTTCCATTTTATCCTAACTATAGAAAGTATCATACAGTGGTCTCAAGTTGTCTTTTTAAGAAACTGAAGTGATATTTACATGGATTGTTTTCCTGTAATTTCAAAACAAAGATTTATGTCACGGTTGCTTTTATGCAAATAGATGCAAACTTAGAAAATATTGTCCCTGCAGTATGAAAATAGCAAGTAATATAAAATTACTACAGCATTTATTGGTTAGAAATGGGAGTCAAACCATGGTATCATGTCTTTATAAGTAAATCAGTGGTCAGGGCCACGTGAGATTATTAGCAAATTTAACAGCAAATTAAGGAATATGCCAGATTGGAATGTGATGACACTTATTTTGGATGTCCTGCCAGCATTTTAAAAGAATATTTCAACCATTTGAACCGTAATCACTTTACATCTCAAACACATACTGTAGTGGCTACAATCTGCAATCTTTCCTCTGTAAAAATTTCTAAATTGTGCCTGAGTGATCCTAAGCGTAATACAATATGATACGTTTTACACAATTGGAAAGAACATTTTATTACAAGTTACATAGTATGGTACGATAACACAATTTTGAGCAAGAAAATGTATTTTACCTTTTGAAAGAGGAAATGTAAAAATTAAAATTTGCCAGCAGATTAGGAAAATACTATGTTCAAATATAGAACATTTAATTAGGTTCAATTTCATCTTCAAAATGGTTTCGGAGTATGTCTGTCTTTCCCAGCTTTGATTTCTATATCTTGTACGTTCCGTGGCAACAAGGAAATATAGATTCTTTGTGTGGGAATAGAAACCCATGAGAATATGGGCTGTTTCTGAAACATACAGATCATAGACTAAGAGAATCGTATGTTTATAATATGGAGGGTTAATACTGCAGGATTGATTCTGTCCCAGACTCAAAAACAATGATATGTGTTGTGAATAGACTATAAACCAGAAGGTATTTCATGTACATTTTAGATTGTGTATACTTGTTTCCCCACAACTAGTCAACTCTGAACCAATAACCTATGAATTAATGTTAGTCTCTGAAAAATCAGCGTTCGTCTACAAAAGTATACGCTACCAATTTTGTTCTTTGTTACCATCCTACAAGATCCCTTTACATGCTGATATACTAGACTAACACGGCTTTATCTTGGAATTTTAGTCTTAGATTGTTTGTGTGTCAACTGGGTTAGGTAAGAAGGGGGGCTGCTACAGTGTTTGCCTTACTTGTTGGGAACCGCTCTAAGTCCCTTTGGGGAGATAGGGTAGTCTATAAATAAAGTTTTTTATTTATTTATGATTTATTAAACCATGAAAATCCACATATCTCAAGTCTGCACATTAATATTGTGCATATAGAACACGATAATGACTGTATAGCTCTGGATTATCAAACCAATGTACACCCATGTATTGGATTGCAATTGCCTTTGTGGCCTCAAGAAAATCTTGAAAGCAGCTTGTGAATTCAGTATTGTCCCCAGCAAAAGTAAACAAAGCTCAGACCACACATGAAAACTTCCCACTTGGACATTTGCTAGATGAGGGTGTTGAGACTGTGTAGTAAATGGTCTAAGGAACTAGGCTGCTTATATATGTGAAGATGCTATCTGCAGAATCACAATAACCTTAATATAATCTAATCTATGCATGATTGTATATATTTGAGGATTTGCCTTGGTTTTCATAAAAATAAAATATTTAATGCTCTGATATATTTGGGATTCTAAAATATTTATGGTGGGGTCTTTTGTAAACAGATTTTGAACTTTAATCAAAAACATTATAAAATACATTACACTTCATTTCCCACCCGTCCCTTTAACAACAAAAAAGACAATTGCACTTTCCTTCATGGCACAGTTATGCCTTTCTCATCCTTCTGCTTTTGCAAAAAATATTTTAGAACACGGTTTGCTTATGCACAATGATTTGTAGCCCTCTTGGAATTTTACTACAAATATGGGACTTTGTTTTCATTAAAGCATAAATAGGACGTCAGATTTTGAAGTTGACCATAACAATCATGTTTATCACATTTTCATCAGCTTCGTAACTCAAGCATTTTTCCCCCCAGAAAAACAACCAGATTGCTTCCTTTGGGGTCTATATAATACCCATAATATTTAAATAATGAGTTTGATTAGTAAGCAGAATATATTACACATTTAAATAGCTTTTTTGGTGGCAAATCTACCAACATTATTCTCACTTTCTGCTGTTTTGCTATACTGGAAAAGGTATATCTATGCAGTGTTCCAAGATATGAAATTATAGGCGTAGTATCTTCCACATATTCTATTGAACTTCAAAGTATTGATAAACCAGAGGATTCTTGCATAACAGAAACATTTCTGAAGAAAAGCAGTTACATAATAATTTCTTCAAAGGAAATAATTCAGAGTACAATCCATACAAAGTTACATACTCTCAAATTCCAATGATTGGGAAAGTCAATCAAGTGCTCTAACTTCCTCTCACTGAAATTGGTGGGGATTAGAAGTGTTTTTATGGTGGCTGGCTCATGCCCAAAGTGTATAATGAAATGAAAATTTTAAATGTTACTCTTAAAATAACGTTTTAATTCAGTGTTCTCATTTGTTAGTACTGAATGACAATTAAGATGGTTGGATGTTTTATGGCGCAACTAAATAAAATTGCCAGGCTCTGGTGAACTCTTAAAAAGCACAACACATTATAAAATTTCTGGCACAGTGTGTTAATCGTGTGTAGTGTTTTCTCAAGACTGAATTACAAAAAAGTATTAAATTGTGGCAGCTGCCAATGTTCTGTTATCTGAATGTTAAGTGACTCTTTTCTTTTACTCCCTGCCCCAGATATGGTGCCAGAACATAGGATTTCAGCTGTTGGGTACCAACAGATTAAAAATGATATCTAAAAGAGCATAGCGCTCCTAGCTTTGACCCTGTCAACTTTCAGTGAGTAAAGGCATGTCCTGACTTTAGGTGGCTTTTGGCTGCTCACCAGTAAAAATGAGCAGAGGTCTGGCAATGAGGATGACACTAAATCAGAGGTGCCAGCATTTCACTGAGATGCAATCACTTGGCTCAATGCTACAGCACATAAAGGCAAGTATACACACATAGTCACATCTTAAAGATAATTCATGGTCCTGGACCATATGAAAAATATTGTGCTTTCCTCAGGATATTTATGTGCTGAAAATGGCACTACCCAACCCAAGCATTTTTGGAAAATTAAATGTGCAATGGAGGCCTTTGGAAATAAAAGGCTTGCTTTCTTTTTCCTTCACAAAAACATCTTAACTGGACTAATATATTCAGATGTGAACAAGATGGCAGTCTGACATTAAGATGCTTTTTTAAAAAAAGACCAAACAAACGATTGTGAGTTAAAGAACTTGGGGGAGGATAGTTTTACTTCACCTCTGCTAATATGATTTTCTATCCTGATTTTTTAAAAAAATCGTTTACATCCCACACTGGTGAAATTCGGATAAAAAGTTGGCAAGGCATACTTTTAACACCTTGCTCCTGAAAGTTAGTTCATAGGTAACAAAGGCCTTTTTTGGTACATGTGGTGAAAACAGAATGCTTCCTCAGTATTGTTAGAGTAACATTGCTGACAGTCACCTGCTCAAATGACCAAGATCCTTTTAAAAAAAATTCCACAACACTGTGTGGATGTGTTTTTTTGAAGAAGGCCTTAAATTCCATGTCTTATGGACTTAGTTAAAGAAACCAGAGTTTCCATCTTCCATGCTTTTTTGATTCAGTTTTGGATTTTTGCTTGGGAGTTGAGGAGTAACTCTCCTGGGAATAAGGCAAAGGTGCAACCTGAGTTTCCTCAATAGGATGAAGTTTTCTCAGAACTGGCTGTAGTTTGTCTTCTTGCTGCTTAAAATCTAATTCCACACTAAATCGCAGAGGGAAAAAAGAAAACCATAATCAGTTGCTTATATAAAGATTCTTAATTCAACATTGATAATGACTGTGATGAATGAAAGACACCCAAATATCTCTTTCAACATGTCATGTTGACAAGTAATAGTTATGATATAGTTCAAATGAAGTATGGAATGCAAAACATCCTTTAAATATGTCAATTAAATATAAAAATGCTTACACAACCCCATAAGCTCATAGAAGGCTGCCTTATGCTACTATAAGTGGGCATTCTAGGTCATGTGTTATTTCAATGAGATTATTCTAGTTTGAACTGACTAATTGAATTCAGGTCTTAGTACCCATTCACTACTCTTATATATAATTCCACATGTATAAGAATATCATTATAGCTATGTATGAAGAAGAAGGGAATAGCAGATACTCCCCTTGATATTTAGGATATAGGTTCTGGCTCTCTAACAAGCCCATGTTGAATGGCATGTTATGTCACTTCTTTAGATTATATTTTCATCTGGAGCTAAGTCTGCAACATCAGAGTTCAGGTTGACTTTCCCTTATCTGAAATGCTTGGGAACAGAAGTTCTTTGTATTTTGGATATATTGTTTTTGAATTTGAAATACCAGTATTTGCATAATGTATACATAATGAGATGTCTTGGAGATAGGACCCAAATCTAAACACAAAATTCATTTATGTTTCATATATAATTCATTTATATAGACTGAAGGTAATTTTATACAATATTAATAATTTTGTGCATGAAATAACGTTTGTGTACACGGAATTATCAGAAAGCAAAGGTATCACTATCTCAGCTGTTCATTTTGGAATTCTCAATAAGGGATGATCAACCTGTATTAAAGTTTGAGGTAATCGTTCCAATATCCTAGTTCGATGGTTCTCAACCTGTGAGTCCCCAGATGTTTTGGCCTTCAACTCCCAGGAATCCTAACAAACTGGCAAATTGGCTGGGATTTCTGGGAGCTGAAGGTTAAAACACCTGGGGGCCCACAGGTTGAGAATCACTGTCCTAGAGGGAGCTGAAATATAATGCCACATAGTAAACATGGGGTTTCTGTTCACATTGTGTTTCTGGAATATGACCAGGGATAACATAGTTTGATGCTAGTACTCAAATACTGGTAGTTTCATATTCAGGAAACATGAAATGAGGGTGACCTCAGTAGCTCCACTTCCATATTACATTGCACATCGGGGTCAACAACATGAAGAGGAGAGGCTTCTCTATGCACACTGTTTTTAAATACTGAAACATTAGAGTTCTAAAAAGTGTACAGGGATAACAAATATGCAGGAGATTCTTCAAAAATCACTCTTGTCCTTGCCACATTTTTCTGATGCAACCACCTTTATAAACCTGATGATGTCAGAAATACAAAATTCTAAATGTGATTCACATTCATACAATCAAATGATGGTGTCTGATTTCTGTGTGTTCTTAAAAGTCTTCTAAATGTCACAAACATATTGAAATAATGACCTCTTTGCTGCTTCTTCATCTTTGCTGTGTATAACATAACCTAAACCTGAAGCTCAACCAATTATAAAGATAAAAGCAATCAAATTTCCAGAGAACATCATGTTACAAAACAGAACTTCAAAACATAAAGATTGCAAGGGAAAAGCAAATTCAATTCTATTACTCATCTGAAGATTTAAAATTGCCACATAAAAGTAAACTCATAAAATATGCATCCTAAATTGTAAGTAGTATGTGGAGTGGAAAAAAGCCCTGCTGGCTGCCCTGCAGTTAAGGGAGGGAAAGAAAAAGATTTGGAAGAAATTACAGCTCAGAGATCAACATACATTAGTAAAATACATTTCAGATTTAATTTATAAAAACAAAGAGGCATGATTTCAAGCTGCAGCAAAAGGGTAATTAGTAATGGTAATGCGCAGCAATCTGGGAAAGAAGATAATCTTTTTTTTTTCAAACCGTGTTTGTTTTGTGGAATTATGTTTTTCATGTCAAATGAGAACTAGGTTAGTTGTGCAGCAACCTTCCTTACCTGTATGAAGATCAAAAGAAAAGGGGAAAAGAAAAAGAAAGGAAAGAAAACAAAAAAAGAAAGGTAAAAAGGCAAGAGAATGGTTCAAATCTAGGGGGAAATTTTAAACAATTTCATCTTTTCCTCCTGAACTGGAAAATATTATAGAAAATAACACATTTTTATACTTGTAACCTGCTCATTTTCTCTTAAAAGTATAATCCTGTGTGGAAAAAAAAAATAGGAATTGAGCTCTTGAGGTTGACATTTAGGGGGGAAAAAAACCCATAGGGATTTTTCTTTTGAGATCTGTGTTCTGAAATACTGAAAACTTGATGTAAACACCTACTATAAATATAGAAAATAGTAAAGAATATCACATTTTCAATTATTTCTTTAAAATTGTTTTTTTAAGTCACTCCTTCTTGTATGCAGATATTTGTACACATTAGATACAGTATTCTTTTTTGAATGCTGGAGCCCCTTCTGATTAATATATGACGAGAACATTAAGAGGTGCTGCCTAAATAGATCCTAACATAATGAATGAAGTTCAGAAGTTTTAATCTTAGTTTTCCAGCAACACCCCCCCCCCTCCCCAATACCACATTATTGGGGGGGGGGGGGTTGTCTTCTACTCTTCTGGAAAGTCTTTAGTGGAAAGTAGCATAAGAACAGGTGGTACAACTCTTCATCTTTGAACATTCTTATTTATCATAGAATGCCAGATCTATATTTTTGTTCCCTCAGCTACAGACACTCCCATGGTGTAAGAATAAGACACTGGAACAATGAGAGGAGTGCTGACCGCATTAGATTTCACTGAGTTCCTGTGCTTTCACGTTTATTTTTTAGTACTATAGTTGTTGTTATTATTATTAATGTATACCACCCTCTGTCTCCAAAGGGACACACCAATAGAATAGACTTTGATTAACAAATTGCAAACATGGTATGAGTCAAGCAGCTTAAAAATGAAATTCTAAAATAGATCATCAGAAGGAATTAAATACCTCACTTAAAAATGCAGCTATTAAAATCTAAATTGGGAATATTTCTTGTTTTGGTGGCTAACTTAATTCAGTTTCTTGCAATGCACTCTGGGCTTTGAAACCCATTGAAACCTACTGAAATCCCAGTGATTGTGCTGAGAAACATGGTGCCCAGGGATCACACAATTCATTCATAATGGAGTTGAACTTCTATATCATTCTCTACACATCATGTTTCCCAAGATAAGAGTTAGGACTGTGGCCATTTGGAAACCTGATGGTGGAGCCCTTGCAGTTGTATACATACATTCATGTATGGGGCTCACTTGTTTTAAAACAACATTTAACTTTTAACCTACAGACCTAACATCCCTATGGTTAGGGCACTTGTGTGGGTTGGTTTTCTGGCTGTTTTATTCCTTGCCAATTTTAGATCATTGTGGCATAAATGAATGATGTGAACAGTTAAGAGCAAGGCAGTTGGCATTTGCTAAGTGGAATGAATCCCTGTATGATTCCAGCTTTCAATCCTAACATTTCACATTATTGAACAGACAAACTTATCTTAAGATCTACAGTGATTTATCTCTTGGCCCATGAGAACTGCTTCCACATGATCACCTGGCAATGCTTGACATCCTTGCGTTTTCAAAAGAGGAAGGTAAGCAGGCATAAGGCTTGAATCATATGGAACTCAACTTGATTTTGGGAAAATAATTCCCAGGCAAGTGTTCAGGAATTTTTTGATAGGCTAGTAGACAATGTCAAAAAAAACATCCTATCATAGTGTGCTTCCTAGCCTCCTAAAATTCCAGTGTCTTCAATGCCAGTTGTTCCTTTGCCAACCCTAAACACATTCCAGTATAGTTATAAGATACTTTGCTACATGGTATCGTTTCCTTCTATAATCTTTTTCAGTGCCAAATCCTGCTAAGTTAAACATCATTGTAATTTCAGTCTTTCAACTATGCATCCTTCGTTCCTGGCTACAGATGTAATTAGTCTACACCATTATTTCCAGTTCCAGGAAAGTGCACTTGACTTTTCTTTCTGCTGTACTCCTTCTCAGTCATATTGCTGATTTAAAAGGTAATCATGCCAGGAACATGTCTTACTAAGTTACTGCTTTGTAGCCATGATGATGGTCCAATGTATAGGGCTAGTGTATGGCTATGACAAACAGCACTGGGGATTCCAAAGGCTGATTGATGCCACAAATGTTGTGTCTTAAGGGTCTGTTCTAGAATAATCTAGTTCAGTGGTTCTCAAACTGTGGGTCCCCAGATGTTTTGGCTTTCAACTCCCAGAAATCCCAACAGCTGGTAAACTGGCTGGGATTTCTTTGAGTTGTAGACCAAAACACCTGGGGACCCACAGGTTGAGAACCACTGATCTAGTTGCTGTTTACATCATGCCAAGAGTTTTTTAGATAATGTGAATATAAATGTCAGTGTTCTGTGCTTAAAAACCCATATAGCATTATTTTACTTAATACATTTTTGTTCCTGCACTCTACATTTCAGAGAAGGGAATTAGCACAATCACCTCTGATTATTCCTTGTCTAAGAAAACCTTAACTCAAAGGCATCCACACACACATTTTAATCCAGCAATAGGGTCTGAAAGCTTGAACAATAATCAAACATGGTGAATATTGATTCAGAACACAGGAAACAACTCTTCTGCTATATGATTATGATCAGAATTACTTTCCCAAGCAATTTCTGGTTCCATAATCTTATCACTTAATCTTGTCACTGACATGCTGGTATGGAGCAATATTCTGTTTTTAAATTTCTCACTGTTAGTTAGATCATGTTGTTACTGACACTGTAACAATAATTAACTTACTGATAATGCAATCCACAAATAAACATCTGTGTTTCACTGATTTGTCTGTCATTAGTTTATTACAAACATGGCCACTGTATATCAGAGTCAGTAGGATAGATTTCTGATTCCAGTGTTGACTACAGAATTTAATCCTTGGAAGTCTGCCCTGATG